TTATTAATTTCGCTTTTGTTACCAATTTGTTACGGTCCCTGTGCTATTTGGCTTTTTTCTTTTTTCTTGAAGCCACGTTTTACGACTTTGCGTTAAAACCCTACCATTCTGTTTTGTATTCAGGTCTTCCATGAACTTTCGGATATTTTGTCTGTTATTTTAATCTAATGTGAATGATATAAAATTTTTGGTCGCAATATTGGTCCATAACAAGTTGAAATGTATTGATTACACATAATAAACCAAGAGAGGTTAGAAAACAGTGCCGTATATATAAAAAACATAGAAACTCAAACACAAGGTAGCCACCTAAGAAGCCAAAACAAAGTCTAAAGGTTTATTTGAAGCTTTCTCGGAAGACCCTTGTTATGTGTGATTGAGAACTGTTATAAATAAATCTTTCTGTTGCGCGTCTGAACTGGTAAATTGAGTACAAATAAAACATTAATAGTATCGTTGCTGAGGAAAAACTACACATGATGCCAAAAAGTGACACCAATTATTATTATTCTTACAATGTTTAATATTATTTTGATAGCTTTAATTCTTCTTTTACTTATACATTTACTTTATAAAGCATCAAATAATTACCTTACAGTAATAAAATGTATTATATCTCAGAATAGGTAATCTTTTCAACCTTGCCACTGATGTTAACCTTTTGGGCGGAAACACAGTAATTTTGCAGTTCGTCGACTTTAGTTGTGGAGTACATTTTAAGAATAAATATCCTCCTCTTTGGTCAAGCTTTGCTGTATTTCATATGTCAAAGTTTAAATTATACTGAAATATTCACAGAACACTTAACAAAATAAATAAATGAAATTATTTAAATTATTATTATTATTTTCATAAGTCAATTGAAATTAGCATCACTCTATTTATTTTAGACGACAAAATAAATAAATTACTTCGGAAAGACCTAAATGCTATCAAACATATTCCGTTTCGATTATTGAATATATTAATTATAAAAATATTGATGGATAGACATATCGATTTCAATTCAACGAAAAACATTTATTTAAATTAAAGATATAAAAATAGATATATTCTAAACTCAGGTAGAAAAATTATATCAGTGGAAACAAAAATAATAAAAATATGTGCCATTCGACATAAGTGACTTCTTCATATCAATTTAAGCTTTATTTTCATTTATTTTTTGTTAGTAGAAGGAAAAATATGCTTTATCAAGAATAAAAAAAGCATCATTAATGGAATTTAAAATAATTTCAGAAAATACAAGATATTTTCGTTTTCGAAATTGAGAAATTAATTTTGCGTGTAGCTATTACGGTAAAGAAAGTACGAACGAATAAAAACCATAAGTAATAATATAAACAACTTGTTCTTTTATATTTCATTGAACGACCTTCAGTTAGTTCATCCTATTTGCATACAATTATCGTAACGAGTTATCGAATCCATTCAACCATCTATCCAATATACTTAGGGTTCTGTGACCAAAGAAAATATATTATCCCAAAAATCATATATGTACTTTCTTATAGATGAAAATAAAATCTTACAAGTGTGTACAAACATTATAAAATTAAAACTTTCATCTAACCTACTTCAATGCAAACTTCGAATAGTTTTTACTTCGTCCATATTAAGTAATGTTTTTTTTTCTATTGAAGTTTTGGAGACAAGCATCAGTCATTTTGTGCAGTCAAATAGAAACTCGATCCATTAGGAGGTGTTAACGTTGCTATAATCCGAGACATCCGCACAATCCCCTTACAGAATTAGCAATGGAGGAAGTGATAGATCATAATGCATTATTTGAGATAACATATCTTAGATTAGACAAAGATGTTGTACTTATAAATAATTTACAATTTAATTATTCTCCTTAGTAACTTGTAATCATGAGAATATTAAATTATGTTACATACATACGTATATCCTAAAATGACTAACCATAATTGATTCTGACAAATGAACAATCGATTCGTCTTGGTACGTGTGTAATGAACAATGGATCAAACATGACAGATTAGAAGACAAATTACAAGCGGAAATACTTTTATTATATAGCCGTGTTGGATGTCAGATAAAAAATGTAACGTTCACGACAGAGATTCATATGTGTAGGTATATTAAAAAAACAAATCAATGCTTTTCTTTATTTAAATCATACACCACTTATAATATTGATAGTGTAAATAAAATTTTAATATTACTGAATGTAATCAGAAAGTGTATAATCAAAGACAAATACCTAATTACGAATGTATAACGTATGTAAATTGCCCCATAACATATTAACGACACATAACAATACGCAACAAGTTACTGCACGAAATTTAATTGCAAAACTGCCATTGTAAAAATTATTTTTCAATAAAGGAACAGATGCGGGATACAATTGGCTTCAACGGAACATAAATATTGAAGTAATAGTCGGAACTGATATTGATACGTCGATGGAATTTGTCAGTCCTTTTGTTAACAGTTCCGGTAAGCTAGGAATGAATTGAAAAAATAACCTTTGTTTAGGTACATGTTCGATGCAACCTTTAAAGGAAATCCATAGCCAGGTAGATCCTTTGAAGTGGTAAATTATACCGAAAAACGCGTTATCACAACTGCTTCTATACAGTTTAATGTAATGATTATTAAAACATTATAAAGTAACTCATTAACTGTTTGGAAAAATAAGTAACGGTTTTTTTAAAACATAAATTTATTTTTGTATTTTAAATTTTAACATACATGACCAACAACAAGTATGTAACGTGATGAATTTTTTAACTGTGAAATTATAAATAAATATAAAATGAACTTCGTCCTCATGCACCACACACCTTGTGTGTTCAACCTTTAGCTTCGCTCTGAACAGGTTTTGAAACACGAAGCTCGGAACCGGTAAAAAATCATCAAAGTAATTACGGTAGACCCATCGCTTTACGATTTGATATAGTATATGATAAAAACATATAATTGAAAAAGGAAATTCCATTTAAATTAGTATATAGCATACGATTAAAATGTAATCTTCAGATTTTTAAACAAAATTTCTCATAATGATGCAGATGCTTCTTTACTATAATTAACAAAATAACCTAAATAATTTTGTTGATTGAACGTCGTCAAAAATGAGAGTATGTTTTTCTTAGACCCTAATTCTAAATTAATTCCCGTGTAATTATTTTTATTTTATCCATTTCTAATTCAATGTTATAAACATCATGTCTTTAATTTTAGAACCTAGCTTGAACACAATATGTTGGGAGCAAGGCACCTTAGCTTCGCCATTACAGGGTTCCAGTAAGCAAAATTATTAGAAACAGAGCCATTGTGTGAGTCAAAACAAAGAAGTTTGCTAGTAAAAAGTAAGAAGTACGCGGGTGATTGCTTGAGTGCTTTGCATGTTATCCAACAAGTAATGGGACCTTGCTATAGGATAATAACAGGCTTTTTTTCATGGTCTTGGCTTCTAATTAGTTTTCTGGATATGCGAACTAAACAAAACGGTACTTTTTTGAAAAGGCATTTTCAAACTATTATTATATTATAGAAAATATTAACATAGATAACATATATATGATGAAAAATTTAATAGATTATCATGTATTAACAAGTTCAATGAAAATAATTGGTATCGTTCGTATTCATTTTATAATATCAACAACGAAACTTTTTAGGTCCAAAACCTGGAATAGGTATGTGTTTATTCCTATCCAATATAACTTTAAAATATTCGAATATTTATTATCATTTGACACTTCAATGTCGCATTCTTATGAAATCAAACACGCGTGGCTCGAGTACGTAGAATTTGTTTGATTACCGATAGCATACTATTTATATTAAAAGATAAGTCTTGACTTGTTTATATAAGCTACAACTGTGGAACGTAACAACATTGTCTCTGAAAACTTTAGATGTAAATAGTTTTCTTTACAAGTTTCTTCAGCTTTTAATTTCTTAATGTCTTAATTAAAATGTTATAATATCCTTCAAGCGTGTAATGAGTAACAAAAGTCACACCAGAATTATAAAGATGTCAAGTTTTTATTTTATGATAGATAATTCTAGAAGTTTAAGATTTTTCTCAGACATAAAATACATATCTAAACAGTTTTATTTTAAGAAAAAAAAACAACTGTGGTTGGTTTCTTTATGGGCCAGGAAAGTTTAATTTTGCTAAGCGTATTGTTCTCTTTTTCTTAAAACAACTCATTAAAGTACAAATTTAAAAGCATAATTATTTATAATAAAACGAGACAATTTTACCAGAAAACTAGAAAATGAATAAATACTAATTTAACTGAAAAAAGTGTAAAATAAATATATTGAAACTTTAAAAAAAACAACGAATCGTACCTACACGTTTCTAAGATTAAGACCTCTGCATCTTAAGCATCTTTATGATATAACATAAGCATCTTTATGATATAACTTATGGTAAAAATTACAATGATACATCTTATTCTTTTAGAAGTCAGATGACCATATTTTGTTAATTAATTCAAATTCGATTTGAAAAGACTTATATTATATACAATTAATATCTTAAATCATGAGCTAGTTATTTGTTGAAATTTTGCCCATTTAAGTAACACGATAAAGGATTTTTAAATTTATTTTTTTACTGATAACATAGCTAATTACCGGTGGAAGAAACTGAAACAGGCTATACATTTTATCGCGAAACCCAATTTAGGGCCGGGAGGCATGCGATTACAATCTTCTCACGACAGGGAAGGCGCGCAAACTTCTCATCTCCAGGGAAATCACGCACGCAAGAAACTTTATAGCAACACGTCCGAGAAATGATCCGCCCGGAGCAGCAACGATGCCATGCCACACACGAGCCGATCAAAAGAAATAAGGTGCGGGCAATGCCTCTACGCGGTTGCCTCTCAAATACAATGTTCATTAAACTCACAAATTCCACATTTTTTTTTAAATTTTCGATTCACTATCACAGGTCACGAGATGTAACCGCGGAGAAGCAATGCCTTTGCCACTTAAATATTAACACTGACCGTGGTTGAATACGGCTGCAGACTCAGACGTATTCCATCCTGAGCTAGTCGTTCACGGAGCAGACGTTTTAGTTGAATTCGCGGTATCTTTACCAGTTCTGCCTTCCCTTCCTCATATTCGTCAACATACTTTGCAGGTTCTATTGCAACTGTTGCTGTTTCCTTTCGTGGTTCCTCCTCACACCTGCAAGGATCTCGGGCAGCGGCAGCTTCCTCCAAAGTAAAGTAAACAGCCGCTGCACCTTCCTCTCTAAGAATTCTTACAGAGTGCAGCAGTCTTTGACGATGTGTTGGATTGAGGACTCCAATAGCATCCAGATCCGGCTCTCCGACCTGTTTGCATATTTCCAAATCGTCATATCCATTATCTAAGAAACTCTCCGCGTACTGGCCCAGGTGGAGCGAACGCAACCACTCGACTACGATGTTGCCGGTCGTCGACGAGGCCATGTCGCGTCAAAACGCGAGGTTCATCACAAGGCGTGCTCACGGCGCGGCTGTCGGCGAGAAACTGGCGGCTTCGCTCCCCTTTTACCCCTCTCTCCCTCCTTCCTTGAAGCGCGGACCCCGTCCCTAACTACGTGCCTTTGCTTTTTGACATTTTGTAGCACAATCGTTTTATTATCAACAAAATATTATCTTAATATAAATAATGGTTATTATCACGCAGATGATTATTTACTTCAATGTTCTTAAAATAATATTTCGTTAACAAAGTTTGCGTTTTAATAAAACTGAAATAAATAAACTTTTCTTTAAAACAATTCATTCTAAATTGTTATAAAAACAAATATATTTACGTTATTACTGTTATATTCAAATTTAAGTCCATAAATTTATTGAGAACAAATAAAATTGTTTCTCATTTGTAGGAGTTACATGTAGTTTAATAATTAGATTTGAATTAATTAGAAGTATATTTTGTTATTTTTATGCTCGTTTTATATTATTTAGGAGGTTATTGTACTTTAAATATATTTATTATTTCAAATCTAAGTATTAATTATTATTATAATTCGCTCACAAGATATCATGGCAATACGAGAGAATGCGAGATATATCCAACAAAATAAAAACATTTAAAAAAATGCCATCCAGAACCCTATCTCTAATATTTACTAAAGGAAGCAAACGTGTAGAATTTATTATACTTTTATGAAAACAGTTTCCCATACAGACTACTTGAAAGACATTCAACTTATTCGGGACAGTAGAACTGGAGCAACTGGTTCTATTTAAGTATGAACTTACATATCTCAAAACATGACTTAATTAAGAGATTATTAGAAATTATAATATTTTTTTCATTATTAGAGCTATTCACACGCCTCTTTTTTACAAACAAGACAACAGATAATCTCGTGTCTAATTGTAAAGAATTCATATATATTTTTTTAGACAGATAAAGCAACTAGGTTTTACTCGTTCTTTGCCTAAAATTTCAATAAAGCGTTTCATATGATATTTCTATAATGCATCTCTGTAATATTAAACAAACTAGGTAATTGGATTACCGAAATAATAGTAACTATAATCGCAAGCGATCTACAATCCTTACTGGTGCACATAATTTATATTTTCATGAATACTCATTAAACATTAAATAAAATATAGTTTTCATTTTTACTTCTCTGTTAATTAAACTTCATTTTGTCAGATGTTTTGACTTCTCTTAATTAACCGTGATTACGGTAAAACCGTGAAAAATAATTGTGCTTAAAAATATAATCGCGAAGACCTTAAGTTTCATATTTTTATAAAATATGTATAGTTATAAAGGTTTTGATTTTTCTCAGCGTTGTATATCTACAATTGACAATATTTATTAATAGTAATCTACTAAGTAGTAAAGATGTAAAGTAATCCTCAAAATATCATTGGAATTATAAATATGAGTTCAGACCTTGAATAAAACAACACCATTAATAAGTCAGTCTTTTATATTTATAGAATACAAGCGTTGAAAGTATTTACGTATTTCTATGGACTGTAGTGCTCAACGAATACTTATTAACACAATCCTCATAAAAAAAAATATAGAAAGATATTAATTGACCATTATATAAAGTTACTGTTTTAATTTAAAATATCACATCATATCAATTAATTTGTTGTTGAATCTTCTTTATCTCTAACATAATGTAGAATAGAATGAGGAAAGAAAATGCATAAATAGTGTCCTCGCTAAAGTAGCTGCGGCGAAGAGATATGGCTGGTCACGTTTCAAGTCCTCTTGGAAAGAATCCTCAGCATCGCAAACTAACACTGACACTTCAAGCTATCGTGTGAGATTCTGAAAATCTGGTCTAAACTGCAAAACTATTACAAATTATGTCATACCAGTCTTTACATATTCCTTTGAAAAAGTCAGGATGAATATTTAAAACTGACTCATATCATGTAAAAGAGCTACTTGGTTATATGTATTTATAAAGTGTCAGTGTAATAAATAAATAAAAATGTTCTCTCCTACTTTGAATTCATATACACTTCTACTGAAATTATATTAAATAATTCTTGTAAAAGTACTGGTTAACTAACAGAACTCGTAAGGCAATCTACTTCCCCTCAAAGAAGAGATAAATCATAATAGAAAAGGAAATTCTTAGGACTCCATTTCCGTGAAAATCCTGGCTTAACATTTATGAACAAACCGAATACCTTATAAGAGTTATTTTGTTAAGCATGTTATTGGAATTTATGTAAATGTTTAAATTGCGTAAAATTACATGATATTCTATTGTATTTACAACTTTAATTATAAACATCATCTGCATTGTTTCATATGTTAATAATTTTTTCTTATAAAAAAATATTACACTCAAGTCAATTTCTATTAAACGTTAATATTTATTTTATAGATGACCGAACATCTAAGATTATAAAAAACTAATTATTTAATTCTATATAGATAATTTATTTTAATACCAAACTGAATTTTTATTGAAAAACAATAAACATAAAAAATGAGTTTGGTATATTAATTATATCATATAAATTGCGTTATGGGCTTGTATAAGTATGTTTATGGTTCTTGCTTGGCTGATAATATTACGGTGTCGTGATTTCAATCAATTCAATATGGGTTCCATTTATACTCAAAAGCCCCTTTACGTGAAATATGTACCTCATATATATTTTCTCTTACTTATTATTACTATTTAATTGATTTAAATAGATGTTATAATACATGTTGTATGAAATAAAAGAGCCATTTCAATGTTTATTTTGTATAAAATAAAAGAATAGCAATTTCAATTCTTATAGCAATAAAATAAATGAAAAAACATATTTCTCCTTCCATACCGTTACATTCGAATTATATATTCTCATACATTTCTGTTAACGTTTGGCGATCCGTGAAATTATGTTAGAATCTGCATTCATATATTGCATTATGTATCCGCAAAATATTGTTCCGTTAATTATGTACTGCTGAAATTTACCGCATTGAATTTTGTTCATTAAGAGCTTAATGTTGCAACAATTCCTAAATTGACGGTTTACTAAATGATTCATTCGTTAAAATCAGTACAAAATGTAACAGGTGACAAATAAATGTGAAGGAAATTTTATTCTGTTGTAGCTTCATATCGATGTTTAGCATTACTGAAAAATCTGGTGTATTTAAGTAATCAATTTGAATGGTTACTACTAAGTGGTATAAACACGACTATCCATCGCCATTTGACCCCAAATAATATTTTTTTCCATTAATAAATCTAGTTAATATAAGTACATCTCCTTATTTATTAATACAATAAATCGTAGACGATAACACCTTGTACTAAGTAACAAATCCAATTTGGGATACCAAAGACGGGACCTCATGGGAAAATTTACGTTTTCCCACCTTACATTTATAATATACTTCTTTATGGCACATAAAATGTGTTCGTACTCGTTGAAAATACTTAATATTATATGATTAAATTGTATGTAATGTTTACTTTATATTAATGTATGTGTGTTTCTAAGTGTTATAGTAATGAACAATGTTAATTTTGAATAATACTAATAGCAATTTTCTACAATAATTTTGTTTATAAAACTTTCTGTCCATGTCAAAGTAAACAATTCATAGAAATGAAAACAATAAGAATTATATAAAGTGATATTTGTATCCAACAGTTTTCCATGAAGGAAAGCGTGTGACAATATTCATTTTGAATATCTAGGCTAATATGTAAAAAAAATTCCTTTTAAACAAACTCAGAATTTAATTTTACTCTAAATTTATTTTGCAAATAACAAAACACATAGTTAGAGGAATGTCTTTACTAATAAATTAATAATGAATTTGTTTTACGCGATTTAATATGATTCCAATTTTCATAAAAAGATGTTATCTTTATTTGTGATTAAAATGATTATATAAATTGAGCTACTACAGTATCTAGGTCACAAGTTATGATAATTAGGGGAATGAATTATTGACCTAGTACATAAGATGTTCTAGAAATCCAGTCACGTCAAGTTTGAAGCAACAATAGGTTAGTTGTCCTGCCAAATCTAATAATTATAGAGGTCTTGAATAAGTAAAGCCTCTGTAGTGTTTACAGAATAAATGTAAATTTTCCTCCGAAATAACTAGAAAAAGCTGTCTATCGCCACTTATAAAATAAGCTCTTGGAAGATATTAATTTATTAAAAATTTTATAAGTACTAAAAGAGTTGTGGAAATATCGAAATGAAGTTGATAAATGGAAAGTGATGTTAAATGTATTTTTTGTCACTCCTACCACTTTGTTAAAAATGTATAATTTGCTTTATATACATTTTTTAGACTAAAAATATTTAGTGTCCATAAACTTTTTATAAGATTGCAGAAGCGAATAATACACTTGAGTCTGATACGATATAGGCAAGTTCATGATGCCATTAGTTGGTCTTGTCGGCCTGTTTTGTCCTTATAAGTATTTGAGTTCTTTAGTTAGATTAAAACAGTAAGTGTCTAAAGAATCAGTCTACGTCCAAACAAGCTTGGCTCCCTACCGTCAGAAATATTAACATTACACTTCATGTCTTTCTGGTTTTGGCTTTCTTTATTTTTCTATATATTTATCGAGCTTAGACCAAACAGAAAATATTACAAAAAAGGATAAAAATGTATATACAAATGTTAAGATAAAATACTTAATGAAATAATGTTTCAACTAAATTAGAAAAAATTAAGCTATTTCAACTTTTCAAATATAACCTCAATTATATACATATAACAGGTAACTTAAAAAGAATCGTTATAATTTTGGAAATAAGTATCTAGAAGAAAAAACTGAACATCAGGACTACCATTTAAGCAATTAATAATTAATTCAGCTGCAATGACAATAGATGCTCGAAGTTGTGGTAATGTCATTTTTTTCATATAAAATTAGATACCGCTTTTAGTGTACTCAGAGTGTTTTCTTAGTTCGCATCCTTTAAATGTATCATGCAAAATAAGTCTG